AAACCTAGCAAAAAGCTCTTAAATAAACCAGAATAAAGTAGATTAACTCCACAGTGATCAACTGTTAGGATTCTAATAGGCTTTCATAACAAGTCTTTGTCTTGGATGCAGAAAATACCTTTGGAAAAGACAGATGGGAGGCTATCTGACTGATTTGTGAGAACAGTCAAAATGTGCTATGAGAAGGGATTTCCTCCAGTGTGACCCGCTGCACTGATGTCCAAGCTGCAGCTCATTTCAGAAGTGTTGCTGAGCTCCTTAATGGTGCTTTGGGACAGCTTTTCCTTATCTGAAACCACTCATTAATGATACCAAGGGTCTAACTAACTTGCATTGCTTTCAAATACCTGCATACTGAACAAACTCAATTACATGAACTTGATTTCTCTTCATTCTTTAGAGATAATTTGATAGGAAAATCTTGGAGTTAGCTAAAAGGATCCCATTCACCCCTGTGAGCGTAGGTGTTGCTATCCAGATTTCTTAGATAATGACAGATTTCTGTGAATTGCAGTTATTCAGGATAAGACAGCTATTACATTGCCCAGACTGGCTCCTATTGCATTGTAGACCTCAGTGTTTTTGCAACATTGTGTGTACCGCTGCTGACAGCACTTTGCTATGTTCAAGATGAACCTTCTTTTGAGTGCAGTGATACCATGGTTTTCATATTGCTTTACCCCAGTCTGTGCGCATCTGATTGCTGTTGTGGGCCTTTCCCTGTACAGGTTTGATTTCACACACCTGTATCTACCTGTATTACATTGTATAAAACCTTTTGCTTGGAGAGTAATAAATGACTTTACCCCGGAAAGAACAGAAATATTCCTTCCTTCCCTCCTTCCTTCTTTCCTTCCTTCCTTCCTCCCTCACTTACTGCTTTGGCTTATTATTGAAATGCAGATCTCCTAGAGGTCTTATTTCAAGTGTTTCAAATATTCTCTACCATACTTGTCATTAATTTATGGTATTACTTTTTTGCCCACGTTCTATTTATTATATGGAGCTGGCCTCAGTATGAGCCTTGAGAGATTGCCATCCAGGAGCATTAAAGAGGTTTAAATCCCTTAATGTTCAGTGCTTTAAAAAGTATTTTATGATAAGACAATTAAAAATGACATGCTGCAGAAAGTAACAGGATCCCAGAGTGTGTTACAGGTATGGCTCAGCAGAAAATGAGCACTATGTCCAATTTCTCCCCTTGGCCTCTGCCAATCTCATAAAAACTGTAACTTTCAAAAAATAAAGGAAGCAACCCAGATCTCTGCTGGGTTGAAGGATGATGTTTTGTTGCAGGGTGGAAAGTTGCAAGTTCTGAGAAAACAATGACCGTTGAAAGGGGTCTGTTCATGGTGCAGGAAATCTGATTTCTGGAGCTGTGTGTGCATGTGTGTTCTCACTTCACAACTGCTTCCAGATAATGGGGCTACCAACTCAGGCAGGAATGGTAGGGCTGTCATCCTTAGTCTAAAGTTCAGATCTTCTTCATTTGAGGTGTTTGTAGCAATGCTCATGGCGTTCTCTGTTTGGCTGCAACTCTGACTAAATGGAATAGAATGATGAAGGCAAATATAGAAGCTGGTATTCTCTGGGCAAATTTGCGTGCCAAATCCACCTTTAGCAGAAGAAAGATGTGGTTTTTCAGAACTCAGGAGAGCTGTACCCGCAAACACTACGGGCACATTTGATGAGCTTGCATTCCCCTTCTGTTGAATCAAAAACCCGGGCTAAGAAGGAATGTTCCATGTAGGGAGAAGAAGATGATAGAACATGTTCCTTTCAAGGCTCACTTGGGAAATGTCAGGTCTTTCTGAAGGCACCATTCAGCCACGGGCCTTTTTTGACAAAAAAGTAACAAGACAGGCAGCGCTGCAGAACTGAGTATTCTCCATGGATTTACTCATCGCCTGAAATAGACTGTGGCAATTGTCTTTATGATCATCAGCATATAGTTAAAAGGGAGCAGCTGACAAAGGTAAGGGCATACCAGTGAATCTTTCCATTTTAAAAGATTTTCACGTAGTCCTTGCTCATCTCTATGTACTGAAGATTTATCACAGTCACAGATTCCATCTATCTTTCATCATCACCATGGAATATTATTCCAAAAGCTATTAAGCTATTACAAATGACCTTGTCTGAGCCATGCTCTTTTTTCTTTTTTAACTTGAAATGCTTATTATGTATTCATTTCATGTATCTCTTATTTTTGCCTTGCCTCAAGCTGGAAGTCACTTTAAGAAAGCCATCCAAAAAATTCTCTGTTTAGTATGTGTGTACATCTCAGTGTGAATTGTAGTGTGTGCTATCTGTGGTTCATCCTGTACTCCGTAATGTGGCAGTATGGCTGTACTCTTTCCAAAGCAGCATGCCTTTTCAGAAAGCACTTCACTGACAGCTGAAGGTGTTCCTGTTTTACTGAACTGTAAGGGGGATAAGAAATGCCACGTGGAAGAAGCAGCTGTGCTGGCTGCTTCTCCTCTGTTGTCTGCGGGAACATCTGATAAGGTGCCCATCTTGTACCTATCTGTGGCTCCAGTGGAATGTGTGGCAAGGCAGAAGCAAAAGACTTGAACTTTGCAGCTGGGAAAAAAGCCTACAAAATAAGGCAGTTACACACAGATTGAGATAAAAGTGACAGATGTGAATGATGAAGAAGTCCGTGTAGTATCTGACCTTCTTCCTCAGAGCAGAGATTCACTGTCAGACAGGCTGCTTCAGACATTGATCTCATCACACAGCTGAAGCAAAGACAGCGTTTGCTTACTGCTTAAAGGGAGACCTCCAGGGTAAATGCACAAACAGGTGTACAAGAAGAGTTAGCAGTTGTCACTCTTCCCAAATGCTCTGTGATATGGGATGTGTTCAAGGTAGCAGACTTGCTGGAGGGGCAGATTTACTTGCAGTGTTATAGGAGACCTGAGATATCAGTGCAGAACTTTACGATAAAACACCGTTAGTAAAATCTATTTAAGAGGTGAATCCTCCTAGTTTCTGATTTCCATGAAGTTTGTGACTCCCTAATCATGAAATTAAAATTTGTATTATTGAAAATCATATGTTTGGTTATTTTGATCCAGCTGGACTTTAGTTTTAATATTTACCATCCTGCATATTGGGGAACTTGAGTAATTTTAATCTGCTATGATATTGTGCAGCTCCTCCCTTTGACAGAGTGGTGTAGGCTGTTATCAGCTTGGCTGAGGGAGCTGGGATTGTTTGATCTGCTGAAGAGGAGGCTCAGGGGAGACCTTACAGCTCTCTCTAACTATCTGAAGGGAAGTTGCAGTGAACTGAACTCGGCTTCTTCTCCCATGTAGCCAGTGACACGACGAGAGGAAATGGCCTTAAGCTGCACCAGGGGAGATTCATGTTGGATGTTAGGAAATACTGCTGCTCTGAAAGAGTGGTCAGGCACTGGAATGGGCTTCCCAGGAGGTGGTGGAGTCACCGACCCTGGAGGCATTCAAGGAATGTTTGGATTTTGTATTGAGGGACGTGGTTTAGTGAGAACTGTTGGTGATGATCTTGCAGGTCTTTTCCAACCTCGGTGATTCTCTGACAGCAGGAGAAACAGTTATTGCATATACTTTTTTCTATTCTACGTCACTTTGTATTTGGGCTGCTGCTTGGGATCTGCTCAGGAACACAGATTATCTTAGATACTTTTGATCTGTAAAGATGAAAATGAGAATGAAGATGGGGTGGATTTTAATATTAGCTATTGGGTGAATACCAAAGATGTAAAAAGGGATTTGAAATATTTGATGGATTGAGATAAAAAAGACCTAGTGGAGATGGTAGTGATTGAATTGTCTTTCCTTCATGTATCAAATTGGAAAGTGCTCTTCAATATCAGGCGAAGGTGACAAATTTCAATTAAATCATATCTCTACAGATTTTTTTCTGTTCTCATAAAAACGTTGTACAGAAGACTGCAATATTTAAGAGGAAGAGTGAGATTCAATTTCCAGCCAACTACTTTCCTGAACATAGGTGTCCTTACGTTGGTGTCCACATGGGAGCTAGGAACTTGACTCAGGTTCCCACATAAAGGCACCTGATGAAAGTTGAGGTGCTGCAGGGTGCTCCTTGCTTCCTGCTGCTGGTACAGACGAGTCTGGGTGTCTCTGGAGCTGCCTGTCACATTCAGCAGTCCTGTATGTCCTGAACTGCTGCACAGTTCTGTGCACTTTTAAGGCCGTGCTGTTGGATAAGGTGATGAGAGCACTTGACCAGTACAGGACAATACAGGAACACAGGATTCAGTCTTGTCTTGAGACTTTGGAGAGAAGAAATAAAAGTCAGCTTCAAATAGGCCCAGAACTGGGAAAAGGTCTTCCATCCCAGGCAGATCCTGCTGATGAACTGCTCAGCGCAGAGTTGTCTCACGCTCATAGTGAGGAAACATCAACAGGAGCAAAGCTGAAAGCCTCATGGTCAGGGGCATTGCCTGAAAGAGAATTAAATGTTAATCTGCTTAGTTTTACACAAATTACTTTGCTCCGAGTCCCCAGAGAATGCAAGATCCTGGCCAAAATGCAGTGCAAGGAACAGCTGTGCACTGTAGTAGAACCTATTTGACAGTAAATCTGGATTTCTCACCTGTAAGATGAAACAGACAAATGCTCATAAAAGAAAGCACTTCAGAAATGTTTAAAATGTGTATATCGTGGATGTGAAGTCAGACAGGTAACAAAGAGATGTATGGAGGTAAATGAAGAGATGTAAGAGAAAATGTGAAGTTAGAAGACACAAAGTTCTCCTAAAACATTTGCTGAGAGTTTTACTCACATAAGTGTTGCCATGTATTAAAGTGGTATTGTTCACATGAATACATCTTTGAAGGATTCAGTCTTTATCCATGCCATCTTTTTCAGTGTAGAAAATTTTAATGTGACCGTTGTACATTCTTTAAAAGACAAACAGATGTTTTACTGCAGTATTCTTTTCTTCTACATCTTTTTATGTCATCCAATTCTCCAAGTTTAACATTTGCATAATTAGTCTCTAGACTAATGTTACTAGAATGCAAACGATAATAATTACAGATCTGTACTAGTACCAATGAGGCAACCAGGTGATTCAGTTCATCAGCTGGAAGCTACTCTTCTGTCAGAGGTGGGTTGTATCCTGCCTGTAAGAAAAGAATGTATATTAAGCGGGCTAGTTTAACCAGAATATCAGTGATTAAACAGATGCTCTTCAAGGTTTCTTTGAGTAGATGTGTGAGTGGGAGATACACACGAACACAGAAATCTTTTAAGGATACGAAGAATATATTAGAATTCCACATGTACAAAGCTAAGTATAACTGAATTGTTGTATCTAGTGTTTTCTGTTCTCACCTCAGGACCAACTGCAAGTAGAGTTCAGTATTTCACTGCTAACTATAATGTCAGAACCTGGAGAAACAGATGAGGACTCAACAAATCAATCCACAGAATTATGCTCTCCTTTTAGTATAGAATCACAAGAATCACAAGAATCACAAGGTTGGAAACGACCTATAAGATCATCAGTCCAACCGTCTTCTCATCACCATTGCCACCACTAGTACTAAACCATATCGCGCAGCACATCATCCAGACGCGTCTTGAACACTGCCAGGGACGGTGACTCCACCACCTCCCTGGGCAGGCCATTCCAGTGCCTGACTACTCTCTGAGAGAAAAAGTTCTTCCTTATATCCAACCTGAACCTCCTCTGATATAACTTGCGGCCATTGCCCCGTGTCCTGCTCGTTGCCTGGGAGAAGAGGCCAAATCCTTCTTCACCACAGCCTCCCTTCAGGAGGTTGTACAGTGCAATGAGGTCTCCCCTGAGCCTCCTCTTCTCCAGACTAAACAATCCCAGCTCCCTCAGCCACTCCTCATAAAGTTTGTGCTCCAGACCCCTCACCAGTTTTGTTGCCCTTCTCTGAACACGCTCCAGGATCTCAACATCATTCCTGTAGTGAGGGGCCCAAAACTGAACACAATACTCGAGATGTGGCCTCACCAGTGCTGAGTACAGGGGGATGATCACCTCCCTGCTTCTGCTGGCCACACTATTTCTGATGCAGGCCAGTATGCCGTATATGACAGTATAGCTGTCCCTCCTTGATGATAGCAGAGAAGGGACAGTTTGCATTAGTGTTTAATCAGTAGGTTCCCTGACTTGGTCTTCAAATGTCAGTTCTTATTCCCCCTTGCCTTGAAAAAGGAAGATACTGGAATTTGGTGTAACTCCTTTGTATGAGAGGTACAGTCCTCCTCCCAGTATTTGCCTCATGGAAGGGCTTGCTCATAACCCCTAGTGTAGTGCTCATAACCTCACGTAGTGCAGTGAGTCTTGACAGAAGACTCAGTGGTAAACTCAGAAGTTTTCTCCGTTTATTTTCTTCAACCTTAAACGCATGAATTTTTAGTCATTTTATTTAAACCTTGGTTTCAAGAAAATGTTACCAGTAAAACCTGGTCAGGAAAAAAAGCATGATGAAACTATTCACTCTGCTAAAAGTTTTCAAATTATGAAGGTGAATGAAATCCCATCTATTTGAAGTTTCATTAGAAATACCCAAGCATTTTCCTTCCTACCCCGATATACCTTAACCTAGAGGTGGCAATTAAGTCTTTGTTATCCTACAAAAGGAGGTTGAGTATGAACTGAGAAATCTGTCAATTTCTAATGGCATTTCTGTACGCCTTATGGTGAAAGTGGTGAAGACAGATGAAAGGCAAGTAGGTTGGTATATTAAATGATCATTCTTCACACTGAATAGCAATTTCATGCACTTTGAATCCAAGAATTAGAGCCTCTTGTTTTGTAACTTGATCACAGCACAGTAACTCCTAAGCTAATTTCTTAAAGGCTCATCTGTAGTCTTAGCTGATTATCCTCCCGCAGTGAAATGTTTGGGATGGAAGACAGCAGCAGGTATAGATCGCTGATTTATTTGATTGCAGCCATTATGGCTACCCTAGGAGGACTTGTAAGCAAATTCCGTTTTCCATGTATTCAAGCTAGAGTGAACCTTTGCTGCAACTGTACTAAATGTAACTATGTGAAATGCTTGTTAGTGTATCAGTAGTAAGGGTGAGCACTCTATTCAGAGTCACTGCAGTCAAAGACTTGCAGGTAGTTTTCAGAGTTCAAGACAAGTGGCTCTGTGGGCATGTTGCACAGCCACGGTCCCTCAGGCATCCCTACTGGTGGACTGCCAGAGTGCCCTGTGCTTCCCTTTCAGCCTCTGCACCTTTGTTTTGTTCTCAGGGAATCGGGGTAAGAGATCAAAGGCAGAGATAACATGCAGAGTGCTTTGCCCACCTGTATTTTCTGGAGAAGTGTCTTCGGATGTCTTGGCACAAGTTTTCCCTAATGATTTCGTAGTGCTTTGCATATGGCTGCAGACTAGCACTGTAGGCCAACTTTGAACACACAACATAAAGTTAATGTAGGTGCCCTGCTCACAAAGAAGCAAAACTGCTTCTGACAGATTCTTGGAGATAGCAGGCAAAGTATTCACAGGTAGACCAGTAATCATAGAAAGAAAAATTGTGCTCACCCAACTAGTGAAGGGGCTCTACGGCTACACAGCACTCCGTCACAGCAAGCAGCCTCGGTTCAAGAGACACTCTCTTGTCCTGGTTTTATGTTTTTTGGTCAGTATTCCACACCATCACATCTCGCAGTGCACTGGAGTTAAAGGCTTAGTACTGCTGTTCTGTGGCTTGTCAACATTTCTGGTTTCCTGGTCTCAGAAGACAAGAGTGAACTACAACTCCCAGAGGACTTTGTTGTTCCATTTCCATTTGAACAAACAGATAAAATGACGGAGTCTCAAGACTGCCTCTCTTTGCTGTCTGTGCTCCTGGCTGTCTCACCTGTAGCATTAGAGTAAGGAATGCAGTTTTGTAAACTCTCTCCTATTTTATTGATGAGCTTCAAATCCCATCATATTCTATTATCGTACATTCCGCTGCTATATTTTGTAAATTAAGTTTTTCCCTTAGTTCACTGCTGCTGGTTTTCTTGCCTAGGCCTAACTTCCCCCACCCTTTTCTCTTCTCAGTCCGTAGATGCCTTAGCTCCCTGTCACCAAACCTGGCCAAACGACAACAGCTTTCTTCAGTGACTGGCCCTTACAGGAGCCCAGGCTAACAGAAGCGGTCTGATTTTCTGGAGAACATTTCTGTTCTTTTGTTTTTCTTTTAGGAACTGTGCAAGCTCTGGGTAGCAATGTCATGGTAGCGAAAGGAGAACATGTGAACTTACCAACAGGCAGGACACAGTGCCACCTGCAGAGCTGACTTCAGACAGAGCACAGAGGGCACCTGAAGAATATGGGATAGGGCATAGTGGATACAGCTCATCTTGCTGGAGGATCATTAGACGAGGTAATTGGAGGTAGAAGGTAAAGGAGTTTACACTGGGCAGCAGGGATTTATCTGAGCATCAGCTTAGTAAGGGCTGTGCAGAATATCTCATGGTGCCAACCTAGCTTCTCCCCATCTCACTTTTGAGCATTGCACAGACTTTTTGACGTGCTGTACGTTCTGACATGGTGGGACTCAATAGTCAGGAACCAGAGGAGACAGACCATACCCTCTCAACCCACTTGGAGGGTTTGGTTTGGAAATGTCTTGGGCTGATGCAAGTGAACAACTCTGAACCACTCAGGAAATCATTTTTGCTACTGTATCTTCAGTTAGTGAGCAGGTGTAGCTGGTGAGCTCTCAGGGCCAAATCAGATAGTATTCAGGAAAGGCAGCATTACCTTTAGGTGAGGGTGGAGCCACTCATGTGATTAAGTTCTGAAGTGTGGTCTAAACTACTTAAAAGTAAACTCCAGGTTGAATGAATATAGCTTCACATAAAAAATGAAGATGCCTAATTGCTTACAACACAACAGTCTTGAAAAATACAGCTCTCTAGGTGTTAGATTCTTATGTCCTACTGGGGAAAGAAATGGTATGATTCCTAGTGATTGGATCTGGGAGCATCCAAAGGTACAAAAGGAGTAATTTCAGAGAATTTCAGTTGGAATCACAGAATCACTGATTCTGTGAATACTTCACTGTTCCATTTCCATTTTCTGTTTAGAAGGAAAGAGAAAACTGGGAGTCACGAGACTTCTATTTCTGCTTGGCTCTGCAGTGTATGCTCCCTAGCTGTCCCACCTTCAACATTAGAGTAAGGCCTTCAGTTTTGGACAATCTCTCTCCTGTTTATTTGATTTATTAGCTACAATTCCAATTGTATTGTGCTATATTGCATTCTCTCACACTGTGCTATAATATCTAGTAAATTAATTTTCTCCCTTTGCTCGTTGCCGCTGTTTTGTGTTTAGACCCGTCACAGGGGGTGGGTCCATGGGTCCCCCTGTGCCATTTAGTCAAGGATCCAGGTCGAACCGGGCCAGAGCTGTGACCATGCTGTATCTGAATGACCATGTAAAAGGCACTAAGTGCACTGAGTAGGACTTCTGCTCCTCCGTACGTTTTTGTTGAGTTTGTAATATAGAGTTGGTTGTATTGAAACAGAGCTTAATTGTAACTTTCCTAAAATCAGAATGCTGTAATGTCATAATTCCAAAGATGCTCACTGTATGTTTCCCATTTGCAAGTATTTATAGCTGACCTACTGTTACTGAATCCTCGCTAATTTTATATTTACTTTTATTCTTTAAAAGATACAACTGTTAAGTGAGAAGATGAAAAGTTCATTGTACTCTGCAGAGAAGAAAGACAATTTTCTTTGTACGACTGGCAGAACAGCCCCATGGCAGGATTCGTAGGGTGAGTTAAAACCTTGTTCTGGACTAACTTCTCCCATAGAGAAGACACGAAAGCTGCTTGCAGTTCCAAAATGGGGGACGCATGGCAGAATAATTAATATTGACCTTCAAAGGAAAATACAGGACAAAGGATGTTGTACCAAAGGCCAGGACATGCCCCAGCACAAGTGGAGGTGTTTGACTCAAGACAAAAGCGCAGCCTGTATCCTACCACTGAAGGCAGACCCACCACTCCTCATACCTTTTAAACATCTGTACTACTCCCCTTGAGGCTGTGAAGTCCACAGGACCACTGGTAGGAGCATCAACACTTCAGCGTGCTTCAGTGTCTACGAGGGTATGTCATGACACCAGGTGGTGGAGTGCTGAAATTCTGGGAACCAGGGAACCCAAACTGAAGAAGAGAAGCCTCCAGAAGGAACATCAAGTACTGTTCCAACAGAACCATAAGAAGACTGTCAACAATCACCTTGCAACAATCACCTGTCAATCACATCATTGATAGGTACTGTACCTGCATCACGATGCACGTTGTACTTCATGTTTCCAAAACAGCAGGAGTTGAGCCCTGACCTACTCACTCTTTGGTTCAGGCTGTGACCTGGCAACTCTGCTGCACTCCATCCCTTCACAGCCTGAAGCAATGATTGAACATTAGTTGAGAGGTCAAGGCTCTCCCAGGGAGCTCAGGTGCAAGCAATGATTGGAAAAGGTGCTTTTATTTAAGTGTTAGCAGCAGAGGGAGCAGTATCTCTCTGAGTTTGCTCTTCTTTTGAGTTGTTACTAGTTTCTGGAAGGGGTGAGCTAATTTTTCTTTGTTACCTGCTGCTATGGTTCTTGTAGGTTATGTATAACCTACATGTATAGGTAGGTTATAAATAACCATAACCATACCTGTTAGGTATGGTCGTATGGCCTTGTATGGTTACCTGCTATGGCGCTTATCTCCCGTTAGAAAGCACTGTCATTACCTTCTTTTGCCATGTGACTTTGTTTAAAATATTTTCTTCCGGTGACAGGCTTTTCTCAGTTCTGTTGCTTTATTTTTCAGTGCTGCTCTGCAAACCCTGCTGTGACTCTGGGCTAGGCCTGGCCACTCATCAGGGTAGAGCTGCTGCCATGATCGATACAGCTGTAGGGGATGCAAGTTGAGTTGGGATACACGTAGCATGTGGGTTACAGGTTGTGTATGCCTGAGTATCTAGTTCACACTAAAATGTCTTGGCTGTATGCATGTGGTGGCTGGAATCCCTTTGCATTGTAGAAGCAAGGTTCAGAGCCAGAAAGTAAGGGAACGCAAAATGATGAAAAAAACAAGAAATGATCTATGGAAAACTAATTGTGATAGATGTTCTTTGATCCTGGAAAATCATAAAAATAGTTTTGGGGGGGGAAAGGAAAAAACAGCAGGTAACTGTCAAAATGTTAGCTAAGTACACTAAACACTAATACACCTGTATATACGTATGTATATATACAGGTATGTAATATACCTGTAGTGGAACACTGTTGAGAAGGTACATCCTCTATTGTCACACCACCAGCATCGGCCTCTGATATTGTGGACGAATATAATCAAATAGGAGACGTTACTGTTGAAGCACACCTCATACATACACATTGAATCAGCTGTACAACTTTCTCTTCAAAGGCCTAATTTGCTTAGGCGATCGACACCATCAGTAAGAACATCTATTGTATAATGCACCAAGATCTACCTGACTTCCTAGTAATCGAGGTGCTGAGACTGTTCCTTGTCAACTTAATCAGTGTATATTGTTTTTATATTGCTTTTGCCACAGTGCATTTGGTGTGTTGATTTTATGGCCACCAGACACTCACTCAGCCTCTCTCTCACTCCCCCTCCACAGAAAGCCAGAGAGAGAGGGGAAAGCCCATGGGAATATTACCTCAGAAGTAAAACAAATTTCACTTAGGGAGAATAAATTTCATTTATTTCTCCCATTCCCTGCTCAGCAGGTCTTCCTCACCCCTCCGTTTCTGACTCCTTCATCTGTTGCAGAGTAGCTCCTCTGCGCTTTCCCTTCCTCCTCACACCTCTCCCCGATCCAGCATACGCTCTTCAGGAGCTGCAGGGTGAGCGTTGCTGGGGGCACGTAGCACCTTCTCCATGACCTTCTTACAAGGTGTTCCCACTCTTTTCTGGGATCTTTCTTCTGAGCTCCACTCCCTCTGAGCTGCCTGCTCATTGGCTAATGGGTCGTGTGGGGCAGTAGGAGTGAGTAGCAGTGGGCTGGAACTAGTTGTGTCTAACACCCCAGTTTCATACCACACATCAGCATTATGGCAGGCCTTTCCACAACTGGACACCTGCACTCAGTGCAATACTCTTGTGATCTGAAAGGTCAAAAGAATGTTTCAGAAAGCTGAGTTGGGATTGTGTAAACGTACAACACGTGTATTGATTCTAATTCCATTGATGTTTATTAGGAGTACAATGTTAGTTCAATTGTTCAGGAGGTGTAGACTCTATACTAATTGATTCTTACAAAATCAGAATCATTTTAAACAGCCTAAATTTTCAAAGCACTCATTGAACTGTACATAAGCTTTATTTGAGAAGCCCCTTATGCAAAAAGCCACTTTTTCTAGTGGATGAGCACACACACTTTCTCTGAAAACAGGTTAATAAAAGGTTTTTCTTAGTGAAAGTTAAAAGATTTTCAATGAAGTTGTTTTGGAGGTTATTCTTCTTACCAGACAGTGGCATGAAGATGTTGATTGGCTTTTTACTGTGTAGCTTACAGTGCAGATGCTAGGTGGGAGCCTGCTCAGTATCTTTCTTGGTAATTTATGTAATGTAATTTATTATTTGCATCAAAAGACAATTTTTCATTTTTTGTATCATCAGTAGCACTGGAACTTAGCCTTACCTTTTGGGCTTTTGATGACCTAGTGTGTAAAGATATCTTTCCTTCAAGTATTTCTGATGTACAGTAAAATCAAATATTTTCCTTTTAGCTGTTTGAAAAGAGTTTGGCAACACTGAATGTTTTTTGGTACTCAATCCAGTTCTTTGATCTTCCTCCAACATGACCTAATTCTGTTTAGAAGTTGTTGTGCTTAAGTGGAAAGAACGGACTTGTGGATAAGACAAAGCAGTACTCCCCTAGCATCTGATTCACCAACTGCTCTTGCATGCATGCAGTTTCTCCAAAGGCGATAAAGGATGACATATTTTCTATGGATACTTTCTATGAGAATTCTTTTTTTGCCTTCGAATATACAAAATCTGAACATCCATGCTGCTTGTGATTTCATGCTCCTTCTGAAAATTCTTGCTTTTTTCCAGACAAGAAAAGGTATATTTGTGTGATCCATGTTTGACTATTTTTAGATAAAGTGATGACCGTTAGTCTTCTCAGTAAGACTGACATTCACTACCTAATTTTTCCATAAGAGCGCAATCCTTATTCTTGAGATGTCGTTAATATAGCGAGGCTAGAAATGATGGAAGCCACACCGAGCTTGGTCACTACTTTAAAGGCATCATTTTAAATCACATCTATTGAAAGTGAAAATGCCTAGTCATTTTTGTAAGCTAGTTGAGCTTATTTTGATAGCATACGTTTAAAGCGTTGATCTGAATGATCTTTTGTAAAATCTGGTGATATTCAGAAGGCAGACACCTTTGAAGTCTATAGAATAATATCACTTAGTTATACCAGTTATTAATCCACGTTTGCTCATGTTACTCATCCTTTTAACTGAAGATTGGGTTTCATTATATTATTGAAGTTAAGGGAAATAAAGCAAAATTGATTTTCAAATGGATTCTAAGATTTCATTTGTGTTTTTAATCCCTGTGTAGAGGAAGACAGCATGTCAAGTTATGCAATTTTACACAGTAGATTGAGGCCATGATCTTGGCTTTATAAACAAATACAGCAACAGTGGTAGTGAGAATCCTTGATTTTATTTTCATGCAGCTTGAATGGTCTTTTCTTACTTTTCTTTAATTATTATTACTATTTATTTGTATCATTTTTATTTATTTGTTTGTTTATTTATGCAAGTTCTGAAAATAATCAACTGGTTTTCCTTGGCCAAAACAAAACACCATGAGGTTTCCATCAGGTGGCCATGGCCTCTTAATTGTTTGTTACTACTAGTGGCTTCGGCTCTACTAATCAGTTTGTAGATGAACTGTTGAAGAATAATGAGGTTTCCTTAGTTGAGTGAAGTATCAGAATATCAGTGAAAAGGTGTCTGTAGTAAATATTTTTCATATTTGCACTAAAGATCATAATACAAACAGATTTCTGAGATGGACATATACTGAAGTCACTTGGAAGCAGACACACAAACAGAACAACCAAGCTAAAACAACCAACTCAGCCCTCCCAAACCCCCCTGTCCTCCCTCCCCCCCAACAACAAACAAACAAACAAACAAACAAAAACTTAAGCAACAGCAATACAGATAGACAAACAAAAATTAAAAAAAAAAAGAAAGAAAGAAAAAAGAAACGAAGAACAAGAAAAAGAAAACACACAATGGAAACTATGAAAAAGACAATGAGAGATACAGAGTGATGGGGAAGAAAATTGTCAGCAATACCTGTAGACAGTATCTTCTAGAACTAACAATGCAAAGGCATTGCATACATATGCAATAATAACACCAAAAACAAGATCACTACTGCATTCTAATTCATAAGTCATTCTCTTCTATGAGGCAGTTCTTTTGTTTAGTACACAATCCTGGAATGCAATGAAATAGCAAGTATCAACTAGTAACAGTGTTACACTATCTCCAGCTCTAAAATTAGACTCCTTATCTGGTTACAGAAGGGGCTTACAGCAGGTCAGAAAAAGACTTGTGTGAATACTAAGCACAGAGAACTTTCTAAAAAGTAAGCAGCTAATCAGCAGTATTTAACCTGTAGGGAAAAAAAAATTACTGTGCTGTGACTAAATATAGAAATATTTATAAGGCCCATTCATACAGAATTCAGAGATTTACAGTACAAGGTAGTAAGAATCCCAGATGAATTTTTGTCCTTTTCTCAGAGCTGAAGTGAGAAAAGCAC